CCACAAAGCCACACTGGACAGGCTTAAGGGCCTCCTGCTGTCAAGCTGGCACTCAAGCCAGAGTTGGGTGCATGCAAGGCAGGAACAAAGGTTTAAAATCCTGTGACAAGACTTAAAAAGGTAACTATTTTAAAAAAAATATTCAGGGGCTGGAGAGATAGCACAGTGGGTAGGGCACTTGCCTGGCACATGGCCAACTCAGGCTCAGTCCCTGGCATCCCATATAATCCTCTGAGCACTGCCAGGAGTGATTCCTGAGTACAGAGCCAGGAGTAACCCCTGATGCCGGGTGTGCACTGCTCCCACCCTGCTGCTAAGTATCATTCATAAATGTCACTCATTCATAAATGTCACTGAATGAAATCCAAAGACCTTTCCTGGCTAAATATTTATTATTTGTGAGAGTGTGGAACTTGCTTTTCCTGAATTTAGGTTTCAAGAAATCAGTCCTACTATGAGGTGATTATATTTCTTCTTCTTCTTCTTCTTCTTCTTTTTTTTTTTTGCTTTTTGGGTGATACCCAGCAATGCACAGGGGTTAATCCTGGCCCTGCACTCAGGAATTATCCTGGTGGTGCTCAGGGGACCATATGGGATTCTGGGAATCGAACCCGGGTTGGCTGCGTGAAAGGCAAAGGCCCTACCTGCTGTGCTATCGCTCCAACCCCTATTTCTGAACTTGGTGTTTCTCATCTAAGTTTTAGATAAAACCTATTATTTGTATTTGGAGCATCTCAATAACCATGCGGTAAATACAAGCGCATTTTCTGATTACATTACTTAAAAAACAGACAGCTGAAAGAATAGTCGGGCATGGAATGTTGATACATGGGTCTATTTATACTGTATATTCTTAACTCTGGTGATGATTTGTCAGAGCAATGAGAAGCCACACAGATCTGGAATTTGGAATTTGGGCTGTTACTGCCTGGAACTCAAGAGAATGACATCAGAAAAGTTAACCTCTTAAAAAATCACCGGAGTATTTAAAAGCATTCTCATCAAGAGTTTGACAGACACCCAGTGATACTTCATAATCTGAAGTAAGTATCATTTACTTCAAATACTTCAAGTACTTCCAATACTTCAGCTTAGAAGAACTGTATCTATCTAGTCCAGCTTTCCCCACCTCCTCCAGACTTAATATTGTTTTGCAAGGGAATATATATCATTGTTTTCAATCTTTTCTTAAAAAATAGGAATGACTTCACTATTAAAACAAGTTAGGGTTATGTAGGTATTAAGCTTCTAAAAATTAAGAACAGTATTTAGCACTCACAAAATTACATCAACTGAAAACAAAGGTCTTGAAAGTTCAACATAATGCAATTAAGTATTATCCCTGTTTAAGTATTGTCCCAGATGGAAAAGCAGATACATATAATTTTTTTTAATGTAGGAGTACTGCTATTTATTCAGCCACTGATTAGCTGACTGAATTGTGCACGAACTCCACCATAATTTAAGATTCTAACACTCAATTCTTTTTTGTTTTTTGAGCCACATAGGGGTTGCTCAGGGCTTACTCCTGGCTTTGTTCAGGAATCACTCCAGGCAGCGTTATGGGGGCCCATATAGGAGTGGTGGATTGAACCTTGTCAGCTGCTTTCAAGGCAAGAGCCTTATCTGCTGCAGTATCTTCCTTGCACCTCAGGTACCTTGATAATAACTTTTGGCTTCCAGAAGTGTAAACAGAAAGCTTCTATTGTTTTGGATGTCATCTATCTATGGTATTGTTGTCACAACAGGACCAAGAAAACCATGCTGTATCTGAAAATACATGCCAAATTTATTTATTTTGGTTTTGGGGTCATGCCCGACAGTGCTTATGGCTTGCCCCTGGCTCAGCAATCACTCCTGCTGGTGTTGAGGGGAACATAAGCAGTGCCGGAATCAAACCTGGGTTAGGCAAATGCAAGGCACGTGCACTACCAGCTGTACTATCTCTCCAGCTCCAATTTTATTCTTATAAAGTCTAAGTTTGTTCACCTTTGAAAACGTCAAGTATTTAAAAATATGTTCTATTTGAACCAACTTCCTCTATGAACTGTTTAAAAAGTCAAGCAATGCCATCTACAGGGAACCTTTAGAATAACAGTCATCCTTGTATCAGTGTTCACTGAATACATTCTCTCTAGATGGGAGTTAATTTTGTTATCTGGCATCATTTACAAGCGAAGTTTCAAAGAAAAGGGCTAAGAAAAAATTCAAAAGATGTATAATGAAAGAAACACCATAAACAATAATTCTGGATTATTAATACTTGTTGATCTTGGGTCACACTTGATGGTTCTTGGGGCTATTCCCAGCTTAATGTGGTGTTTGGAGGATAATTCAGTACCAGAAATTAAACCTGGGGCCTCCACAAACAAAAGCATATGCTTCAGTCATTTGAGCTATCTTCCTGACCCTATTAATACATCTTAAAAATAACTAAAAGTAACCTAATTTCACTTTCAAGTTCACCAAACATCATTAATGGACCCTTGCTTATGAACTGTAGCAGGTCAAGACTCAACATCATGCAGCCTTGAAGACCTTTAAAGTCATAGCTGATGTATGGGGAAGATTCAAATAATTGAAGTCTATACCTGTAGCAAATGTTTTGTTTTTGGGCCACACCCAATGTTGCTTAGGGATTGCTCCTGGTAGTGATAAGGGGCCATAGGTAATAAAGGGAAGTGAACCCAGACCAGCTGTATGCAAAGCAAGTGCTTTAAGTCCTATATTATCTCTCTAGATGCCAGTACAGCTCTAACTATCTCCCCCCCAGCTGCTTAGTTCCTCTCTTTACTTTCTTGACCATTAGCTTTTTCTGTTTTATTTGACTTCTTGGGGTCACACCCAAATGATGACCAGGGGTTACTCCTGGCTCTGCATGCATAGACCATATGGATGCCAGGGATTGAACCCAGGTTGGCCGCATGCAAGGCAAATGCTCTACCTGACTGTGCTATACTCCGGCCCCTACTTAACTTCTTAAGTTCAGTCTATTTTAATAACATTTCACAGAAGGTTCCATGTCAAAGATCTCCCCTCCTTAAGCAGTATAGGTCATTCTAACTATAGGAAGGTTTGTCTTTATAATTCTCATTTTCCCCTTGCTATCTTCCTCTTGAAAATTAGATGCTATAAAGGTTTCTTTGTTGCAGTGGTTCTCAATATGGGCTAAATATTAGCAAGAATCCCATGCCTCTGACTTAATTAGACTTAGGCTGTGTCTAAATGTGTTATTTGTTTGCTTTTAATTTTCCAAGTGATTTCATGTGGAGCCTCGATGGAGAAACTGTTTCTCTGTGGAGATTCCCTAGTTGGTTTGGGATTTCATCAGGCGGTGGCCCCTGCCCACCCATTCCTCTGGTGCTGGCAGCCCTTAAGATTTTAGTTGTCTTTCTCTGGCTAATTCTCAGTACTGACCCTTACCTACTCATCCACAGCACCTTCCTTAGAACCTTCCACATGGCTGCAAAAACCCCTTAAGTCCCCAAGTCATGTATAAACTCTCAGGCTGACATTTTCCATCTTCAAATCCTCTCTGTCCACCCCCAGGTTAATATTCCAATTTCACTCCCATGCTTTGGAATAAAACAGACGTGCCAACAGTTGGCTAAACACAAATCCAAGCAGGTGGGAAAAAATGTGGTTTTCCCCTTTCTGGAAGCATCCTGTACCTGAAATCACTTCTTCAGATCGCCTCTCCTGTGATTTCTGGGCACAGAAGCATCTTAATCCCTCCCTCACGTCCAGATACTTAAAAATTCCATTTCCCAACACTGCATGTTGCCAGAGGAGGCCTCTTCAGGCTGGAGTGTTAAGGAGCGTGTATTAACAGGGCACGCTGTCCTAGAGACCAGTGATTTTCTGATTTTATAATGTGACTGTGATTTTATTATGTGACTTGTATCTCTCTTCTGCTCTGGCCTTATTCCATATGGGGGGGTGGGGGGGAAACAGGAGAAACTATGTTAATTTTATTTTGGGACCATACCCAGCAGTGCTCAGGGCTTACTCCTGGCTCTGAGTTCCGGGATCACACCAGGTGGAGCTTGGGGAACCATATGTGCTGACAGGGATCAAACTGGGGTTGGCTGCAAGCAAGGCAAGTGTCTTACTTGCTGTACTATCCCTCTGGCCCCCATTTTAAGTTTCTTAAAGACAGAAATGATAACTGTTCCTAATTTCACAGTCAGTAACTGTGGTTAACTAGAAGCAGATGACAATGAATGTATGTGACTCACCAAGGAGGTGTAAGTCAAGTAAAAGTGGAATAAGGGACAGGGAAGAGGATGATGCACATGAGTGTCAGATAAGACTGTGGCAAACTGACATGAAGGAGCAGGGCAGTCTACAGGGCCAAGCTGGGCTTTCCACGGGCTGATGACTTAGAGGAAATGTGTATGAAAAGTACAGCAAAAGGGGGAAGCTGGGAAATAGAGTTCTGATGAATCTGGGTGAATTACCGTAGCTGTCACTTATTTTTACAAGTTTCAATAATGCCATGAAACAACCTTGCAAGTTCCATGGTTATCAGTCTAGACTTTACTAATAATAGCTGGTGCTATCTGTAACTAAACAAGTATCATATATTTAGGTCATACTAACTGCGCTGATTAAAGGTTTAGTGGAATGTCCAGGGGAATAAAGTACTTTGAAAAAGAAGAGCAAAACACACTTTAAAGGTGTAAACAAAGGAACTGCTCTTCCTGCTCCTTCCTTTGGTGTTGTCTCTACTAGTGATGCTCAGGGAATACTCCCAGTTCAGTGCATAGCGGGTCCTTCCCAGCAACTATCAGGAGACCGTGCAGTGCTGGGGACTGAACCTGGGGCTTCTAAATGCAAAGCATGAGATCCAGTCTTTTGGAGACCCTGAGCCAAGAACTGCTCTTTTGACTTTGAGCCAAATTTCTCTAAAGAAGACTGCTTCTGCTCTTTCTGGACAGTAATCACCTGCTTTAGAAACTCATTTTCTTCCACATTAATTATGACACTGAGTCACAGGATCTCAAAAACAATGTTTATTTTAACACATAGAATTGCTACCTAGCACCAATGTCTGTAAAAACCAGAATTCTGTCTAGTTACTATTACTCTTGACATTTTGTCTGAAATTCTGGAGAGATCAGTCTATGTGAGATGATTTAACAAAGCAGACCACACAGAATCATAATAATTTGGCAAGTATACATAGAACAACATTTGTAGTTATTAAAAAACCTTTCTGTTCAACGTAAACAAGCTAACTTACAGTGTTTTTAGTCAGATTTTCTCAACAGACATACACAAAACAAGCACACTAAGTTATACAAATGCGAGCCTGAAATTGTTTTTCTCACCCCATTTTCAAACAAAACATTTTATAAAAGTACCTTTTCTCCCTTTCAATCCAGATTTCTCACTTTCTTTCCTACTGACTCACTACAATGTAATTTACTTACATAGACATGTATGGCGAAAAAATTAAAACTTTTGCCAATATAGGTCTACAAACAATTTTAGTTTTTTAAAAGTAAAAGTACATGTCAGAATGATCTTAAAAGCAAAAAAGTATTAAGATATACATCTGATGAATCCTATCACATTAATATATTAACTTGACATTTCTTGTTAAATATATCTATCTTAAAGACTAAAATGTACTGGTTTGAATTTAGACATCACTATATACTAATAGATATTTCTCTTTAAAAGTATAATTTATTTGTCTCTTGTTTCCTGGAAATATTACAAGTTGTCATGCTATTTCACTGTTTATTTTTAGCAGATATTATCTAACCTCATCATCTGTTTTTGAGGAGTGACTGATACATGTTTCTTTGAAGCAGAACTTGATGCTGATCTATAAAGAAGTTGTATTTCAGATCCACTGGCAGGCAGGCAGTCATTTGTCATACTGCAGACAGACCATGGTGGTTGTTGTCTATACATGAAACTCTAAGTCATGCTGGAAAAATCTGTGAACACAATCTTCCCATGCTGATGCTATGTGCACATGCTCCAATCACATCTTTAGCTTACCCAGGTTGTTAGAGGCTTGGGTAAGGTGATGAAGATCTCATGATGGAAACTTCTATATAAAAACAAAACACAGGAAACTTAAGAGATGACTACTTACTACTAATTGTTAAGTATATTTACTGGATACATATTGGGATGAGGGTGTTTTGACTATTCCCAGCAGTGTATAAGGGAATAGTCAAAACACCAAGAGGTCATTCCTGGTGCTCAGGAGACCATGCACAAAGCACCGGGGATTGAACATAGGTTGCCTATATGCAAAGCAAGCATCTCAACCCTTCCACTCTCGGGCCCTTTATACTTGGGTAATATGATTTGTAATGGCTAAATGCAATTCAAACTACCAACCACGCATAATGTTTAGAGATGGGTCTTTGCAAATACTGAAAGTACTACAAGCATAGGATAAAAGATACAGGGTCAGGGATCTAGCATAATGGGTTTGAGAGAAAGCTTTGATTAGATCTCCTGATCCCTGGTACTAAAAGGTCGTTTGACTACTCCAATCTGCGCCATCTCCATTCCCAAAAAAACTCCAAAACAAACAGATACACTGTGCTACAACAAAAATATATCCTAATTTAAAGGATATACTATTAATAAAATGAAAAGAGAAACCAAAGAACAGAAGAAAGTCTTGCAAGTCACTTATCTAGTAAAGGTATAGTATCCAGAATATATATATACATATATATACATATATATATATAAAAAACCCCTTACAACTCAACTGTAAAAAGACAAATAATTAGGTTAAAAAAAGACATTTATATAAATATATATAATGTCCAATAGGTAAACAAAAAGATACTCAACATCATTCATTAGGGAGGCCACAAAGAGATAACATAGTAACATCTATAAAGATTGAATGAAGGTATTAGAATATGAAGAAACTGGAGTTTTTAGCTATTGCTGGTAGGAATGTAAAATGGTATAGTAGTTTTGACAGAGTTTGGTAATTTCTCTAAAAGCTACAGTTCTCATTTGACTGAGCAGTTTCACTCAAAGCAGATATCAATGAGGTCTGAAAACACTACACACAAAAATTATTACTGAAATAGTCGGTGCAATATTCATTACAGTCCAAAAGAATCAACCAAAATGTCCATCATGTGATGAACAAAGTATGGCATACCCACACAAAGATACAATTATGAAAAAGAGTGAAGTGCTGATGCATACTCTAAACCTTGAAACACTGCTAAGTGAAAGCTGTTAGAACCAGTCAGGGTGTGATTCTATTTACATGAACAATTCGTATTCAAAGAGAGTGGCTGGTAAAGAGAGCAGGAGTTAAAAAAGGAATAGAAAGTGATTGCTGAGGCTTATGGAATTTCATTTGGGGGTGATAAAAATGTTTAGTATTTAAAAATGGGGGTACAGATGTGACTCAGTATCAAAGCACAGGCATGAAGGCTTGGGTTTGATGTCCAGATCCATATAATAAATAAATAAAAAGTGGTGATAGTTATGAAGTTTTCCAAATACAATACAAACCAATAAACTTAATTAATTAATAACTTAGTTAATACAAACCATTTTAAGTTACACTTAAAAATGGTGAACTGCACAAAATGTCAATTTTATCAGTAAGAAAAAAAAGCCACTTTCCAAAAAAACTTTATATTTAAAGACTTTTTTAAATGTATTTATAGTTTTTATGCCTTCAAACATTTTTCTAGTTTTATTTTTGTTTTTGGGTCACACCCAGTTGCGCTAAGGGCTCACTTCTGGCAGGCATGGGAATCTTACAGGGGATCAAACCCAGGACGCTGGCATGCAAGTGCCTTACCTGCTGTACTATATATATCTCAGGTCCCCAACATTTCTAGTTTTAAAAGTTAGTTGATCTGAATTTCTAATCCCTCCTAATCCCAACACATCTCTTTGTAGTCAAAATACCTAGTCTTGCTACCAAAACATGATCTGCCTTTGGCTAGAATTCACATACAGCCCTAGCACGGAGCATCTTTTCTAATTCCCAAGTGGGGTGCTTGAAACCTTGGACAATACAAATATTCTTATGATAGAACATAATCTATATATTCTTAAATTAAAAGGAACCACAACAAAAACAAAAAATTCTGTGTATCACAAGATTATGTGAATGTGGTCTCTCTCAAAATATTTTATTGTACGTACTATTTTCAGACCATGATTGATCATGGGTAATTAAAACCACAGAAAGCAAAATAAGGGATATGAGAAAACTGCCGTGATAAAAACCAAAATTACGTGGGACCAGAGCTGATCCATGAATAAGGCAGGGTGTGGTCCCAAAATGAGGATGGGGGATGAGGGGGACATAGATGTGGGGTGGGGAACCCAACCAAAAAACATGAATATGGGGCTGATAGCAGAACGGGTAGAGCGTTTGCCTTGCATGTGGCCGACCCGGGTTCGATTCCCAGCATCCCATATGGTCCCCCAAGCACCGCCAGGAGTAATTCCTGTGCACTGCCAGATGTGACCCAAAAGGAAAAAAAAATTAATTATAGAAAAAAAAACACATGGGGTTTAAATTAGAAATCTTAATAAAATGCACCATTCCATGTTTTATATCAGTCACATATACAAAAGATGCTGACACAAAAATGGATGTGACAAAATTCTTCCTTTCTACAGCCTCAACTTTTAGCATTATAAACATACATTTTACACAGGATGTACACATTTTATTGCTTAACCTGTAAAGAAATCCATACAAAAAATAAAATATCATATATAAATCCTATTTGTTTTTCTTTATTACATAGATCTACTTGGTATTTTACTTTATTAAAAATATCTGAATGGGAGCACTGATAGTAAAATTAGAACAATACAGAGATTAGCATGGCCCATAGGATGACACACAAATTCTAAGCATTCCATATTAAAAAACATACTTGAATGACTGGAGAAAATTCACAAAGGTCTGAACAGGCATTTAAAAATCCTGCTGGAGGGGCGTGAGATAGAGGGCATTTGCCTTATATATGGCGGACCCAAGAGGTGACACCCAAATGGTCCCCAGAGCATTGCCAAGAGCATTCCTGAGCACTGAGCCAGGACTAAGTCCTAAGCACAGCTCCAAAACAAACAAACAAACAAAAAAAATCCTGTTGGAGATAATAAAAACTTGTAAATAACTTGTCTGAAATAATGTTCAAGTTATATAATTTACAACTAAAAGGGGTCTTTACAGCACTTTATGAAACCATAGGTGAGACAGAAGTGAGTGATCTAAGAGTGAGTATTAATTTAATATTTTAAATTTTGGGGTCACATCTGATGATGCTCAGGGATTACTCCTGGCTCTGCACTTAGGAATCACTCCTGGCGGTGCTTGGGGGACAACATGGGATGCCAGAGACCAAACCTGGATTGGCAGCGTGCAAGGCAAGTACTCTACCACTATACTCTGGCTCTGTCCCAGTGAGTTAATTAAAGGTAAAAGGCCCTCCCGTTGATCGTCGATTTGCTCGAGCGGGCCCAGTAACGTCTCCATTGGAGACTTTGTTGTTACTGTGTCTGGCATATCGAATACTCTCGGTAGCTTGCCGGGCTCTCCGAGAGGGGTGGAGGAATCGAACTCGGGTCGGCCATGTTGGCCGCTTGTAAGGCGAACGCCCTACCCGCTGTGCTATCGCTCCAGCTCCAGTGAGTTAATTAACAAAAAAAAAAAAAAAAGAAAGAAAAAAGAAAAAAGAAAAAAGTGAGTTAATGCTGTTTCCATACATTAACATACATAAGCTCAGACCATGTCTAAGAAAATCTCCTCAGAGGAGAGTATTATATTTACTATAGGGTCAGGAATGTATTTACCGATTTTTTCTTTCTGATGTGTAATATATGAATGTCTTCACTTCGATATTCTTCATCATGTTTTTCCAAAGGAATTTTTTCAAAGTCAAAGTCTAGTTGAAGGAGCTATAGATTTAAAAAAGATAAACTTCACACTCAAGAGATGAAGTAGAGGATGGCGATGCAGCTCAGTGGTAGAGCACTTGCCTTGCATGGTGCCACAAGTCAAACAATAATACTAAGAACTGTCCTTCTTGTTGGGACAGAAGAGTTACTGGTGGCCTCTGGAGCAGAACTTACTGGAATGGGGACATGTTTGAGCTTTCTGAATCAAAAAATGTTTTGATCTTTATACCAGGGGAGTGTAACAAATTATGCAATGAGCACTTTATATATGCATTTTACATATATTTTAATTCAACAAATTATTCTTTTGGTGGGGGGGGGGAGATTGAGGGAAGGCCACACCTAGTGGTGCTTAGGGCTTACTCCTCGCTCTATACTCAGGGATTACTCCAGAGGACTATGCGGTGCTATAATCCACATATCAAACTCGGGTAGGCTGTGTGCAAGGCAAATGACCAATCCACTGCAATCCACTGTACTAGCGCTCTAGATCTGTTAACTGTTGTTAATATACACTTTAAATTATTAAATTGGATTTTTTAAGTATTGAATAGGGTTTTTTTGTTTGTTGGTTTTGGTTTTTGAGCCACATCCAGTGGTGCTCAGGGGTTACTCCTGGCTCTACACTCAGAGGTGCTCGGGAGACCAAATAGGATGCTGAGGATCAAACTCTGCTTGACCACGTGCAAGGCAAACATACTGTACTACTGCTCTCACCCCTATATTATAGTTTTAAAGTTCATTAAATACTCATACTCAAGAAAAACATGAAAATAAACCATTTTTTGCAAATATATGAGGTAATCATATATTTGCTTTCTCATTAAATCTCAGTGATTAAAACTGCAGAATTGTATAGATATACATGAGTCTGTTAAAATGTGATGGATTTTTGCCCATAAAAAAATTTTGGTGTAGTCCCATTTGTTTATGTTTGCTTCCACTTTCATGGTCAGTGCTGTTTCATCCTTAAAGATATTTTTAGCTTCAATGTCGTAGAGAGTTCTGCCTTCATTTCCCTCTATGTACCTTATGGATTCATGTGATATTAAGGTCTTTAATCCACTTTGATCTGACTTTTGTGCCTGGCATTAGACACAGGTTAGAGTTCATTTTTTTGCAGGTAGCTATTCAGTTTTCCCAGCACTTCTTGTTGAAGAGGCTTTCCTTGTTCCATTTCACATTTCTTGCTCCTTTGGTCAAAGATTAAGTGATCATATATTTGGGGGTATGTGACAGAATATTTAACTCTATTCTGCCCAAAAGAAGAGAGAGATTATGGGGAATCATGTCTGCCATGGAGGCAGAGGGAGGGAGGAAAAGGGGGGGTATACCAGGGTGGTGGGGAATGTGGTGGTGGGGAATGTGCACTGGTGGAGGGATAAGTGTTTGATCATTGTGTGATTGTAATTCAAACATAAAAGCTTATAACTATCTCACGGTGATTTAGTAAAATAAAAAAAAAAATTTTGGGTGACCCAAATTTACTTAGTAGAATACAGGGTCCTTTCCCTAGGTCCAAGAATGTATTCCATTCAAAAATTTCTAAAATATATTTGGACAGTCACACACAGTATCACTTAAGGGTTATCACCACTAAGAAAGATCCAATAGAATACCTTACCTCAAAATATTTTTTCTCAATTTCTGGATTTTTCCCCATTGTTCGCTGTTCATAACAACATATAATGCAAGTATCAATTCCGCTGAGATCTTTTAGGGTTTTCAACAATGGTTCCAAAGACTGTCCAAAAAGGAATATACTTTTTGTTTATAACTTTACATAGTTTCTATTTTTACTATAAAATATACTTGGGGAATTGGAAGTGGTAATTATATGCTCCAATAAAGTTTCTGTAGTTTCAACTTTGTAAGGATTATTAGCTTTCTCTTAATGAACCCACCATTGTACTGATTTATTTCCAAAGAAACAAACTTTTTCAAGTGACTTCATTTTCTTTTTCCCAGAAGAAAAATGAATTAACCTAAATCTAAAAAGTTTATTTAACTTGGATTTAAACAGTTAACACTTTGTCTACAGAATCAAATATGCTAACTAACCATATTCTGACTTGATACTCATAATTTTAAAAATGGGTGATGCCCAGAATGCTATAGAAATAAAGGTCAAAGAAATTCTATGAGTCTAATTAATTTTGCCACACCACACAACAATGAATTCTTTACAATTCAACTTAATTCTCAATGTCACGGTGAACCATTAACTAGAAAACTAAAAAAAAAAACAACCTACTTAGCTTTTCATAACAAATTCAATATTAAATTTTACTGAAGCATCTAACAAAATGCAAAATGCAGGTAACATTAAGAAAAATCTTAATCCGTTTCAAAGGCCTGTATGTTACGTACAAGTGCAATATATATACTAGCTGGTGACATTTATCTTTTCTTTACTGTCTCAACTCTAGGCTAAATATCCTGCATTCACAATTAGTAAAACATAAAAAAAATGTGCTTTAAGATCTTTGAAATATGAAATATCTTTTAAGGAAGAGAATTCATTTACTTGCTTACCTCCTCATAGTATATGCAGTCAGCCATTAATATGTAGTTTGGTGGAGAAGGAAAGTCTTCTATTTCTTCCCCCCTTAAAAATGTCAACCAGATATTTTAACTGTGGCTTCAATAATTTAAAACGTCTGTTTTAGAAACTAGACCCGGAAAGTCCCATTAGTATTAATCATGCCTTAAGAGAAGTGCAATTTAAAGCAAACTACAAATATTTGAAAACAAAGCTGAAGGGCCATACAAACCATTTCAGTACCTTGGCTTGAACAGAACCAGTAACAAGATGCTTGTTCATATTTATGTTCACCTTCAGCAAGTCTTGCAATTCCTCAAGATCGGTGACTACCACATCTGCCCTATAAAATAAGGTGAGTGAGGTCTCGGCCGGCGGGAGGCAAGCCCTAACCGTCACTGGCCCAGCAACGCGCTGGCCCTCCTGCCCGCTCTTACCCGAGGGTAGCGGCCATGAGCCCCACCGCACCCGTGCCAGCGCCCAGCTCCAGCACCGACCGCCGGCTCAGCGTGTGGTCCCGACCCTGGCCGGAAAACGCCGGCGTCTCCAGGTATTTACAAAGGACGATGGCAGCATCCCACACCACGCAGCCCACGCCGCCGGAGCCATACTGTTGCAGCCGTAACACGGTGCCATCTCGCTTCTCCAAAACTCGCACAAAACTCCCCAGTGGGTCGTCCACCGAGGACTCCGGAGGAGCCGCCATCGCTGCGCTGCCGCCGGGTAAGTGGATGCGGGGCGCCCCCGAGACGTCACGTCACGCGCAGGGCTCCGAAGCCCCACCTAGTGGCCGAGTCAGCACAGCACCAAGGCGCATGCGCGACCCCTCCCCGCCCGAAACGGGAGCCGGCCTTTCTTTGTCGTCTCCTTTAAGAAACTGGCGCGTTTACCTAGCCGAGGGTGTGGGGTAACGGAAATGATGGGGCGGGTCTAGAAGTAACCAGGCTTAAGTGGAGAGTCTTGGGCCCCTTAGTGGTGGTGGGGTGTGTATCAAAACAACAAAACTGTAAGTTACAAAATGAATAAACGGGCTGTCTGAAATCACTTTTCCAGACAAGGACAGTATTTTTCACCTGGCTGGAGACTGACTCACACAGGGGTGGTTGGCCCTTCCAGGGTAAACTGCAAGGATTCCAGCAAGGATGGATGGTTACAGTTGCAAATCAACAGTTCTCCAGCCCATTTCTCATCGGAATGCACTAAAATGGTTACTGGAATCTTTCATCGATTTTATCAGCGAAGACAAGTTATCCCTTTAAAACGTCATTGCTTAAATTCATCGGGATTACATAATTTAAATTGCGTGATTTTTGTTTGTTTTGCTCTGAAGCCAAACCCAGTAATTCTCTGGTGTTACTCTTGGCTCTGCACTCAGGAATTACTCCTGGTGGTGTTCGGGGAACCACATGGGATGCAGAAGATTCAACCTGGGTTGGCAGTGTTCAAGACAACTGTAATACTCACTGTAATATTTCTCCAGCTCCAAAATTGTACAACATATTAAGAATTCTAATACCCCTACAAAATTTAACAATCTTCCTCCCCACTGTTCCATACAATAAAAACACGTATGTTAAACATCCTTTAAAAATTAAGACTGGGGTGATTTATTAATCTTGTTAAGAACTCTGATACAAAGCACAGTAAAAGGCCACAGACCAGTAAATAAACAATGTGGCTTTTGGCTACTTAACAACTGCTGCTACCACATAGTCAAGAAAACACGTTTTTCATCACTTTGGAGTACAAATGGCAAATAAAAGTTTTACTCACTTTTCTGATTAAAAAGTTTAATAAAGCTTTAAGTATTTGCTGGTTTAAATATTACCAAGCTATAAAAAGATTCTGAAATTTTAGTTAACATGAGATTTAGAGAGAAAAAAACTAGATTTTGAAGGCAAGGTAGTTGATCCTCTGCCATACGAGACTTTTCTTCAGAATTTATGAATTAGTGAAGTAGCAGTCTGTATTATAGGCCTCGAGTCACTTAAATTTATATAGGTTATTAGCATAATCTTTAAATATACAATATAAACAAAACTGTACATACATGGCATATTAACTTTGTTTTCCAAAACAATAGGCAATTCGTTAGCTAAAGAAACCATAGTCTGCCAAAAAAAATAAACCCAAAAAAGGCACATCTGAATGAGACACATATCCTAATTTCTTCTATGACAGGGCTCGAAAGTCACTGTTTATATTTTGACAAAATAACAGTGCATTTTGATATTTTCATTGTATTTTTGATTTCAGCAGCAAATTCTGGTATTTAAGACATGGCATTAAAAAGTTTTAAGAACAGTGGGTGTAATTCACAATTCTCCTAAATTATAAAAACTAGAAGTAAAACTTAAAAGATGGTCAAAGAAGTTTTAAAAATCAGTTAATACCATACACTCCCTATGTTTGTGTAAATTCATTGCCTTAAAAAGGCATCTGTAACTCAAATTTGAAAAAATACACAAATGCGCTATCCCCTTTCAGTGCAATCAACATCATTTTAAACCATATTTTACCAAAGTCTACAGTGCAAATATAAATTCTTTATACTGGCCTTTTTGGCAGCACTGAGGATCCAAGACAAGGCAATGCTACTGATCACCTGAGGATGATGAAAGACTTTCGTGTTTTTACTTTTTAAAATTTTTTTAAAAGCTTATAAGATCAGTAGCATTTTTATAAGAGCATTATTTGTAAAAAGTACTAAAATACTATGCCTTTTTTGAATAAATTAAAAAAAAACAACCTTTACAAATACCATTCCAGTGTCAATGACTAAGTATGGCTAAGGTCATTGAGGAGTTTCTGCATTTTCTAATAAAGGCAGTCTGTACAAGGGGGGGTGCGAAAGCTCCCGTTTATAAGTCTTTGGTGGCAGTTTTGGTAGATGAGGGCTTGAATTCTGCCTTGGTGGAACAGGGGGAGCTTGAGGATGAGCAAGATTATTATGACTAGAACTCAGCACATAGCATCGACGTGGTACCCTCGGAGAGGGTGTGCTAGGAGGAGTGTTCGGTGAATTGGGACATGTACTAGTGTCTCTGAACCAGTCTGGATCTCTGTGCAGATGTCCCACTGGAGGTGGCTGAAGATTAAATGGACAGTTTATAAAGTGTTCTGGAGGTCGAAGGGGAACTGGAGGAGGAGTATCAGGAAGAGGATCTCTTGGTGGTGGTGGAGGTGGACTATGCAGAGGCCCATCAAATGCACCTGTTGGAGCAGGAACTCTGGGTTTCACCTTCGGAGGAGGAGGCTGTCTTGGTGGAATAGCAGGGGGATCATCATCAGGTTTTATGTTTCCCTTAAAAAACAAAACAAAACATACATCTATTCTTTTGAATAAGGAAACATGTCAAATCAGATCCAGAGGATCAAAACAAGTTAATTAGATTATATTTATTTTTTACTGTTTTTTGAGGGCCAAGCCCTGCAGTGCTCAAAGTCTACTTGTGACTATGCTCAGGGACCAAGTACTCATGGCAGTACTTGGGGATCATATGTGGTGCCAGGGTTGAAACCCAAGTCAGCTGCATGCCAAAGCAAGCGCTCTACTTATTCTAGTATCTCTCCAGTTCTTTTTATTTTTTAATAGGGAGGAGGTTTGGGGTCACACTTAGCTGTGTTCAGGGGGCTACTTCTCGCAAGTGCTGAAGGGGGATGGATGGGTGAATGGACCAATGGTGTAGGGGGCCGAACCAGGGCTGGTCTCATGCAAGGCAAGTGCACTTCACTATCTCTCTGGCCCAGTTAATAAAACTTAATGATCAAATTTATGAGTAAATTATTCCCAATTTCATTCAAGACCTCCCCCGCCAACTGTGATCCCCCCACCACCCCACCCCACAGGACAAGGGGAACGGGAGAGGGAAAGGAGGAGGACCCGCACCAGGCCCAACTGGTCACGACTCATGGGAACCACGCTGGAGAGGGCCACGTTGTTGCAGCCTGGATATATTGGAGAATCTGGCAAGCTACCGAGAGTATTCCACCCGCATATCTCGCCGGCACAGCAGAGCCTGGCAAACTCCCCGTGGCATATTCAATATGCCAAAAACACTAACAATAATGGGTCTTATTCCCCTGATCCCGAAAGGGCCTCCAATATGGCAGCGTTGAGAAGGACGAGTAAGGAGAGGCTGCTAAGATCTCAGGGCTAGGACAAATGAAACGTTACTGGCGCTCACTTGAGTAAATCGACGAACAACAGGATGACAGTAATATACTGAGATATTTTAAGTGCAATCTATCTAATGAGACCCTATAGAACAGAAGAATATGAAAGGATACAGTACAAAAATCCAATGAAATGAACACCTCACCAAGAATACTTTAGCCAGCTAGATTATCTTTCAGATTGGAAGCAACTATATAAAGCTTCAAGGAAAACCACCAACTTAGGGAATTCATAGGCTTGAAACCAGTTTTGGAAGAAGCATTTAATGATGCATGTGTTTGTCCTTTACTGGATCAAGAAAGATTAAAAACATACAGCAAATGATCATCACAGATTGACTTTTATTGATTTATTTTCTGATAATTCTATTTGCCATTTTTTAAAGTTTCATCAGACCAAGTTATATGAAATAATAGTTATATGAAATGCCTGCCAAGGAGGTAGGCTGGAGGATGGGATGGAACTGGGGATATTGGTGGAGGGCAGGGGACATCATTGGTGGGGAGATGGGTGTTGGAATGTTCTATGCTTAAAACAACTCTATTATGAAGTTTTGTAAATCAGTGTCAATAAACATTCCTGAAAAATATATACATATATGTGTACATATAAAAATAGTAATAAAAAATAAAGTGAAATCTCAAAGTCTCAGGTTATTATCATGCTTTGTATATATATTTCAGGAATGAATGGAAGTTATAAAAAGGAAATGAGTGAAAAGAATGTGTAGCTTTTAAGATTGAAAAAATATGATGTTAAGAAGAATTAATGTTGGGTCCTAGGGCCACATATTTGTACTGTTCCCAGTGAAGCTTAGTAAGAGTGGAAAATCTGTCAGAAACACAGATTCTTGGGAACAATTCAGACCAACTGAATCAGAAACTTTGGAAATCTGGTTTGAACAAGTGTTCTAGGTGAGGTTTTTATTTTTGGAGGGGGGGGAGTGGGCAGAGGTGAGGTACAGCCAGCTGTGCTCAAGGTTTACTCCTACTTCTTATGCTCAGGGATCCTTCCTAGTGAGGTTGGAGGGTGGGGGCTGGGGAACCAAATAAGATGTGGGAAATTAAACCTGGTTGGCCAAGTGCAAGGCAAGTGCTTTACCCTCTGTACTATCTCTATGCCCCTCTATGGAACTCTGATATAGTCTAAAGTTTGGGATGCCCCGGTTAGATGTTTAGCTTTAAAAAAAAAGGGTGAGTTGAGGACTAAATTATGATTTTTCAAATAAAACCCCAAAATGTTTAAAGCTACAAAAGGTGGAAAAATTATAATGGACAGACTCTTTTCAAAGAAGTACTAGGGACTGGAGAGATAGTACAGTGGGCAGGGCACTTGCCTTCTATACAGCCAACCTCCATTCAATTTCCGGCATCCCATATGGTCCACCTGAGCACTGCCAGGATTGACCCAAAACCAAAAACAAGCACTATTTTAAGAATAAAATAAGTTGAAAAAGAAATGGAATTAGTTGGGGAAATTCTAAGTATACTGGTGATTACCTTAGAATTTGAAGCATCATGATCAAACTTTTTTCGAGGAGGAAGAGGTGGAGGGATCAGTGGCTCTTCACTTAGTTTAT